GTAAACATAAAACCATGTCTGTATTTGTGATTGGAGAAACAACAAGCGCTACGCTACACTGCACAAAACTCGCGTTTGAATCGTCAGTGGCAAATCCTTTAAATATGAAAGCGTACTTACAGGCTGTGAGTAGGCATTGTAGGCTACTCTACCAGGCATTGTAGGCTACTCTACCAGGATCAGGAAACAGTCCTCGTCCTCTGCAAAATGCGTTGCTCACATCTGAATATTTGTGTTGAACTGTTCTGGAACAGTGTTGTAAATACAACTTAACCACTTTTGGAAGGCCAAACAAAGTAGATTCACTTCCATAATGAAACACACAGCGTCTCCACGACATGGCGGCGGCGGCAGCAACAACACTACAGCGAGAATCAAAGTTACGCCTTCTTTCTTTGCGTGAACATTTGGGCGGTGTTATGCAAATCTTCCCACAAAGTGACGTAGACATGTGGGGGCGTGTTTAAACAAGGCGTTTTAGGAGGGCGTGGACGAGTCTTAACTTTTATAAAGAATATCTCTTTGGGTTTGAGACTTTAGTCTTTGCAACTTTAGAGATCTTATCTATTCACGAACAGCTTGTAACACTCCAAAGAGAAAGGAAAACTTGAAATCGCATCATATGACCCCTTTAAAAATACATTTGTGTTATTGTATCAAAAATGTTATTATTAAAAATAATAATAATAGAAAGAATGCCATCATATCTGCTTTAGGTGCTGGTCTTAGAAGTCAACATCTTAAAGCATTTGAAAAAGGGCAAGTGACACTTTTATAAAGCAAGAGCCAACAATGGCATCTTTACAACAGCAGAACCCCACTGAGGACAACACAGGCCATTAGGGTGCTATTACACATTATTTCCACTGCCTAGATACGCGGACCAGAGGGATGAAAGCGAAATGGTCAGGCACATGACATGTTCCTGGGAGTGACGGAGAAATGAATGGGTTTGGTTCTTCAAAACTGTACAGGAATGAAGCAGAAAACAGGCACACCCTTGTCATTCAGGTCCAAATGACATCAGCTGTACCCAGTTGTACAGTCATTTGACTTCCAAAGACAGGGAAATATTAGCCAGTGTTTGCATATTCATTTAAACACTGCGGGAAAAAATGCCAGCACATTAAGTATGATATGAACATGGGCGTTTCTTCAACTATGAGCACTGCTTGCCCTGTGCATTTTTAGCAAATAAAATTAAAGTTACAAAATTAATTGACAAAAAAGTGCCCAAAATTTAAGAAACACCCTTTTATGAATCTTTTATTTTATTTTCTTAATTTTTATTTATGTAAATCTGCTTGTACTTGATTTATAAACCTTTAAGACAATAAATTACATTGTAAAATATTTTAACAAAATACAACTTCCAGTGTCAAAAAAAAAAAAATGCTGTTTAAAAACGGAATCTAATATTAGGCATTCAGCCACACCCAGCAACAGCAGCAGCAGCAAATGCTCAGCGGCTGTGACACAGACGGGTTGCCAGATGCTCTCTGCTGGAGCTCGGCACGCACTACAGGCCACCGCTGTGCCGCCTCAGCTCTGTTGCTGATGCTATCTGACAGCAGCGCAGGCTGTCTGCATGCAAAACCTCTGCCGCGTTATTTCATTGTTTCACTCCCAGCTGCACAAGACCTTTTTGACAAGCAGTGCGATGGAGATCTAGGCCGTGATGGAGAGAGCGCCTGCTGGCCGGAGAGAGAGGTCGGACTCCCTGCTGAATTCTGCTGAGGAAGTACAGTGAAAGACTAAAAAGATGACGAAATGAAAGAACTTACCGTGCCTTTCAGAAATCTAGAAACCTGTTCAAGCACAAACTGGCAACTTGCTAATACCAAAATGAGTGAATGGCCTTAAGGTGAGATGACATTAGCAAAATTTTGCAGCAAAAATGTCCATTGTCTACTCATAGTGTAGATATGTATGACGCACAGCTCACACAGAAGTCACTTTCAAACAATGCAGCTTTCTGATGGTCAACGTGGCAAATTTGACCAACTTGAACCAGTTGTGAAATCTGCTTATGGAAATCTTTCACCCCCAAACATAATTCTCAATTGTGTGGATTTGTATAGAAATGACTGGATTTTGCCGGCGAATATTTGCTAAATATTGGCAAACTGTGAGTCACTTCACTATTTCATTTGATAAAAAACTATTGTCAGACCAAAAAAAAAAAAAAAAAAAAAGTTTGGTTGAAGAACTTATGACAGAAATATAAATTGCTACTGTACAGTAGATTTGCAGCACTATGTTGACTAAAAATTGAAAGGAATAGCTTGTTAAAAGTTTTATGCATTAATTTGATAATAAATTTGTAGTAAATCTTAAAACACAATTCAGAAAAATTAAAACATACAACAGAATTTCTGAAAATATAAAATGTTGAGCACTATTATTGTTAAAATCTAAATAAATTATTAGATTTGAAAGTTTTTTTTAATGATTAAACGTACTTTTTAATAATAAAAAAAATTTAATTAAACCATTAAAATGGAATTTAGAAAAATTCAAACAGAAAACACAGAATTTGGAAAAAAAACAAACAAAAACAGATTCAATTAGGCCCTAATTACCATGTCTGCATTTGTGATCGGAGAAATGACAAACAAGCGCTACAATACACTGTTCAAAACTCTAAAATTCTTAAATTCAAAACTACAGCGAGAATAAAAGTTACGCCTTCTTTCTTTGCGTGAACATTTGGGCGGCGTTATGCAAATCTTCCCACATAGTGACGTAGGTATGTGGGGGCATGTTAGAACGAGCCGTTTTAGGTAGGCGTGGTTGACTCTTAACTTTTATAAAAAAATATCTCTTTGGATTTGAGACTTTGCAACTTTACAGATCTTCTTTATGCAGCAAGAGCTTGTAACACTGAAATCGCATCATATGACTAAAATTAAAATTAAAATGTGGAGGCCCATAAGGGGTCAGGGGTCAAACTGTGGGCCAATGTGTTTAAAATGGTGAACTAGTTAAATTGGCAAGTTAATTTTAAAACACTTACCGTTTGGTTTTTTATTCGGTGGTAGGGCTGAACGATAGGAAGTCCCAGCGGCGTCACCCATTCCACCGTTTTCCCAGACGTAGCTATTAGCCTAGCACTCTCCGTCAGCCATTCCTGAGAGAAAAAGTCAGAACAGCGTCAACCAATCGATCCAACAATATATTAAGCATTCAGAACCAAATTTACATAATGATTTGAACTAGATAAGCTGAAAGTGAAACCCCTATGCATAACAATTTGTCTTCACCGGAAATAATTGCGATAAAGTAGCTGCGATAAAGTAGTCTCCGACTATAGTTGGAAAAATCCAGACATACAGGTGGGAAATTGTTGCTGAGATGAAGCGTTTAAAAAACCTGCTGATCCACAGCAACAGTGCTGGCTGCGCAACTTGGCTGCCACATTCGTAACGTCCCGAGTGCTCTCCCCAAAACGCTTTGTGTGAGATAAATTCCTCTGTTCATCTGAAAGCGGGCCGGGCCTGAAGTGGCTCCATTCATCAGAGCGTTCACCAACATCCGGGGCCCACATCTCCTGTATCACCTTCTGCCGGTAACGGGAATGATCAACTACCTGGGCTCCACTGCCGCTGCTCCTGAGGATCTGACCTATTTAGGAAGCTGCGGGATATTTCACCTTCGCTCTGCCTGTCTGCTCGTCTCCCCAGAGGGGTGCAACAGGAGACAGTGAGCGGCTGGTCCTTGATCTACTGCACCAGGGACGTTCATTCCTTTTCGGTTTCCTGCAGCTGTAATTCATGAGCAAGTTGCATCATGGGAGAACTATATCTAGCGATTCACAAAAATACTCTTTTCATTCATTCAAAAAAATAAACAGGAAGGAAGCAACAAGGGTTGGGTTTTGTTTAAAAACTATTGATAAACATTACTGTTCAAAAGTTGGTAAAGGATGTTTTTGAAAGAAGTTTCTTTTATGGTCACCAAAGCTGAATTTATTTGATTAATATATGGTAAAAATAGAAATATTGGCAAATATTATTACAATTTTAAATAGATGTTTTCTATGTTAATACATTTTCAAATGTAATTTATTCCTGTGATGTAAAGCAGATTTTTCGGCATCATTACATCTTCAGTTTCACATGAACCTTCATATTCTAATATGCTGATTTGCTGCTCAAGAAACATCTCTTATCATTATCAATGTTTAAGGCAGTTGCACTACTTAATATTTTTGTTGAAATGTGATACACTTTTTTTTTTCTAGGTTTTTATCTGAAATATAAATTATATCATAAAAAAAATTCACTATAACTTTTGATCAATTTAATGCCTACTTGCTGAATATGATGAAATGCACATTTCAAGACTCCAAAATGAACTCAAATATAATGAAAATGACCACAAATTAATTTTAAATTTAGCTTTTGGTACAGAACATGTTGTAAAGGTTTCACAGATGAATCTCAGCAAAAAATAAAAAATAAAAATAACACTAGACAGCCATGACAAATATATTTGCTCTATTTTAATTCTATAATTTAATACATTAACTTTAGTAAAAATAAAAAATAACACCACAATTAAACTACTTCTTTGTCATTGTGCTCTTGTGTTGGGGACTTTTAGTTTGTAGTTTAGTTTTGTTCCTGTTTCCGGGTGTATCTTCTTTAGTAGTCATATTATCCCTATGTATAGAAGCCCTTCAGATGGCTGGACATTTGGTTGCTCAGTTCTCTGTTTTTTGTTTCTGGTTTTCAAGTTTCTTGTAGTTTTTGAAATCCTGGTCAGTTTCATCACTGAGTTAACCATTTGTTACTAAACTAAAACCACCAGCCATAGTATAAAAACTCAACTAAATAGAAAAGGCAATTTTTGTAAAATTTTGGTAAAAAAGGTCCACTGTCTACTGTCAATGGTGTAGTAATGCATGAAGCGCAGCTTGCACAAAAGTGACTTTTAAACCAAGCAGCTTTTGTTGGTCAACATGACAAATCTGCATGACCAACTTGAACCCGTTACAAAATCTGCATGAGGAATTCTTTCGCCCTCACACGAAATTCCAAATCGTGTGGATTCCTATTGAAATGACTGAAAATTCCGCCTAACAACGGTAAATGTTACCACACAAGTGAAAAAATATAATAGTCCTGATCATTAAAGTGTATAAGGGAATATGATATTACATACCTGAATTTCTCTTGTCCCAGTGAACATTTCCTTCAAGCTGCTGAAAACCTGCTTCACCAGGTAATGTGACGCATCCCATATGTATTCCTGTGGATTGAAAATAGCACGTTGTTAGATATTCACACAAGCACAATAGTGTGGATGCTTTATCCAAACCTAAAAAGGGCATCAAGGGTATAAATATAATATTTGCATGCATTTGCATATGTATGTCAGGTAATTGAAATTAGATTTAAACAAATACACACTTAAAAATAAAGATTCAAAAGTGGGTTTTCACCATAGAAGAACCATTTTGGTTCCTCAAAGAACTTTCCAGTGAACGGTTCTTAAAAGAACCACTTTTGTCTAAACATGTAGAACATTTTAATAATCTAAATAGCCTTTTGTGGAATGGAAAAGGTTCAAGATTCTTCATGGCAATAAATTTGTCTTCAAAGACACCAAAAAAGGTCTGAGGTTTGGACAAGGGAACACAACAAAACATGTTTATGTTCAACAATCCAAAGTTTAGCTTTAGCGAGCAGAACGTGGAGATGAGATCCCTTGACTCTATAGGTGATAATGCCTCATTCATTCTCCACAGCTTGGGAGATACGAGAAGAGCGTCACCTGTTTCTATGGTTGTCCACAGAAGGCCGCACTTGGGGAAATCAAGACTGATGCAAATGGAGGGGAAATAAATCCTTAAAGTTCACATCATCTGTGATGTAAAACAAGATTACCAAACTTATCTTCACCTTTATGTCGAGCTGAAGAAAAGGTTACAATAACTAGAAATAATGGCGATAACAGAGAGAAAAGAGGACGTTGCATGGCTAAAGCACTTGAGATGTGGCTCTTTTCCAACAAAAAAGTGCCTATAAACAATCTGGGAGAATTTCTGCTGCAGACTCTGGGCTGGAAAATGTGGATCCGACCACATCCATCCAAACGTCATGCAGGACAAGGTTTGGTTCACACGGAAACTCTTGAGTCACAGTTTATTGCTCCATCTATGATAATTTTAACCAAAGTACAACGAGCCTCACCTTAGGGAAATCATCGATTTCCTTCAGTCGCTTTTCGATTTGCAGACGGCCCCCGTAGCGCGTGACGCCATAGACCACAGTCATCACCGTCTGCTTCACCACCTTCCTGCTGATGAAGCCCTCCAGCACCTGCGCGATCTTCAAACCCTTCTCTGCATCCCGAGCCCTGAACTCTTCCACCTATGAGACACGGGACAGCGCACCTTTCTGAGACTCCATAAATCAATGCACTTATTAGTCACAGTAATGTTAGGGATGGGTCACAATTGACAATTTGTTGACGTTTTCCAACAACCGACTAATCATGTAGTTTGAAGAGTGTTCGATTTTTGTATATATTTTTTATATTTGTAAATATATTTTAAAAATACAATATTTTAAACATTATAAAACATAATAATATATTTTAAATATTCTAAAAATTTAATTTTAAATAATTTATAATTTTTTAATTTATAATTTTAAATTAAACTAAAAATTATTATACACTATTATATATATTAAAAAATCATATTTATTATTTTATTATATTTTATATATTTGTAATGTATAATAAAATTGTTTTATTATTATTAATATTATAAATGCATGACATATATGTATAATAAAATAATGTAGTATTATCATTGTTATATTTAAAATAGAAATAAAATAAACTTAATATGAATAAATATGATTTTTTTATATTAACAACAATATTAACAAAAACATAATACAATTGTGTATTAATATTAGATTTATAGTACAATATAACAAATAAACTGGTAATAATATTTAAATAAATATAACATTTATATATTATTAAAATGTTTTTTAATTTATATTTTAAATATAATAATAACTAAAATAATAATAATAAAGTAAAAATAAAATAAGAAAATATAACCTCCACGCATTGCTATATATAACAACTTGCACATTATGCTGTGTATAGGAAATGAAAAAAACATATAATCATTACTTATTTTTATTATTTGTTTATTTAAACAATTGTATTATTATTATTATTATTATTATTTAACAAATAAGTATCCCAGAGACCCCTGGTTGGGAATCAGTGTTCTATAACTTATTTTAAAGACCCTTGAGGGGGAATTCAGAAATAAAACTATCGATAACAGAAATACCACAATTGTCCCTCACTTAAACTATAAATAGCTTATTCTGCATGGAGGGAGGAGCAGGTTCATTAATCGCACATGAGGTGTGAAAGGTGCTGACGGTCTTATTGGGGCTCTTGAGAGCTTACCCTTATCAAACAGAAGGAACAATGAGACTGTTTAGGCCAAACTCTGACTCAGCAGAGCTCATTGAGATGTCTGCTATGCACCCTTCAGCTAAGGTTAGCGCAACCCGATGTTTCTGGTGAGAACGACACGCTGCCTTTAGAGATTACACTGTGTTCCCAAAATATAGCCAAGTCAATAGGTAGGTCAATATATCTCAGATAGTGTTCTCTAAAAAATACGCAGTCTTCCCATAACTGAAATATAACTGGAGCTTTGAGACCATAAGTTGTGTAGATGCAGCAATTTAAGATGAATATTCAGCTTTGAGGGAAAATAAAAAAAAAGGAGGAAAAAAGCCTCTGACACAAAGGACCCCTGGTTGGGAATCAGTGTTCTATAACTTATTTTAAAGACCCTTGAGGGGGAATTCAGAAATAAAACTATCGATAACAGAAATACCACAATTGTCCCTCACTTAAACTATAAATAGCTTATTCTGCATGGAGGGAGGAGCAGGTTCATTAATCGCACATGAGGTGTGAAAGGTGCTGACGGTCTTATTGGGGCTCTTGAGAGCTTACCCTTATCAAACAGAAGGAACAATGAGACTGTTTAGGCCAAACTCTGACTCAGCAGAGCTCATTGAGATGTCTGCTATGCACCCTTCAGCTAAGGTTAGCGCAACCCGATGTTTCTGGTGAGAACGACACGCTGCCTTTAGAGATTACACTGTGTTCCCAAAATATAGCCAAGTCAATAGGTAGGTCAATATATCTCAGATAGTGTTCTCTAAAAAATACGCAGTCTTCCCATAACTGAAATATAACTGGAGCTTTGAGACCATAAGTTGTGTAGATGCAGCAATTTAAGATGAATATTCAGCTTTGAGGGAAAATTTAAAAAAAGGAGGAAAAAAGCCTCTGACACAAAGCTTCAAAATAAAAATAAATCAAAATGAATTGAAATGAAAATGGTAGAGGCTGATTGTGGATGTGCTCTAGTGCAGTGAGCCCCAAGCAGGAAAGATTTTGATCCATTAATTTTTTTACCTATAAAACATATATTATGACCACTATAATTATAAAAAATGTAACTCATTTTTAATTATAAAAAATATAATAAATATATAACAGTATTCTAAACAATGTTTATTTACTCATAGCCTGCAGTGTGATGCGTTCGGATCTGAATGTACTGAATACATAGAAGGTCTACATGCAGAGTAAACTGAGGTCTGCAATAATAAAGCCTGAAAATGGCCTGCAAATATATCCGATTGCAAATTTTAAGAGTGAACCTGAAGATAAAAATGAGAGGATTGAAACAAATCCTGTACTATAAGTATCATGTTTAATAGCATATGATGATTGTATTATAATAATATATCTAATGTTGAATTATATAATACATATATTTTGTACTGTATATTTTCTGTAACTGTATTATACGTTTCGTTACAATATATATAATAAATGCATAAACTACCGTATTGACCCGAATATAAGACGATGTTTTTTTCTTGGAAATACATCTGAAAAAACGCGGTCGTCTTATATTCAGGGTCTAGACTTTGACATGTCAATAATACACCCACAACACTAGGTGGCGCCAAAACCGCATAAAACGAGTGTGCCATGAAATACGTAATGTAATGGTGTTGTAAAGATCGCGAGTAAAAACAAAAGAAGCAGAAAACCTTACAGCTGCATGAGTCGTGCCTGTCAGGTTAGCCTGCTGGGACCAAACTCCCTTTGTGATTTTAAAACGTAAGACAGTACCAAGATTTGACGACTACAGTAAGATTTAACTTCTACTGTTCATAAGATTTTGGTAGGCTACTATTAGATGGATAGCCTAAATGTCCTAATTCAGATGGGCTACCTGTTTTTTTTGTTTTTTTTATGGTATATCAAGAAGTGTATATTTTTTAAATGTGATTTGTTGGTACATTTTACCAGTTTTTATCATACTTTCAAAACAAAAATTAAAATAGGAAAAATATGCAATATGAAAATAATTGAAGACAAAATTTGTTTTACTGAGAAAAAACAAGATTTGGTTTTTAAAAAGCCTTTTTCCAAAAGGTACATCTGGAAAAAGGGGGGTCGTCTTATAATCAGGGTCGTCTTATATTCGGGCCAATACGGTATATACTGTAGGATTATGACCCAAAAATGAATCGCAGGTCTGTTTTCATACCATTGACACTGGGAAAATAATGCTAAATGCAGATTAAATGCACAACTAAATATAATTGTGTATAGTCAGGAAATTAAATAATCTTATGCAGTTCGTGGTAATATTAATAAACTAAAAGTTGATTTATTTATTTTTCTTTTGTACGATATGCATTTTGGGGCTATGATAATTTTATTTAATAAAAAGTGTATATTTTTTAAATGTGATTGTTGGTACATTTTACCAGTTTTTACCATACTTTCAAAACAAAAATTAAAATAGGAAAAATATGCAATATGAAAATAATTGAAGACAAAATGTGTTTTACTGAGAAAAAACAAGATTTGGTTTTTAAAAAGCCTTTTTCCAAAAGGTACATCTGGAAAAAGGGGGGTCGTCTTATAATCAGGGTCGTCTTATATTCGGGCCAATACGGTATTATTCAACTATTATAGCTATTACTATTGTTGTTGTTAATAACAGTAAATTGAATAACATTATTATTACTATTAATAATAATAATAATAATAAAACATTAAATTTAAATATAAAATTAAAATGTTCATTTATTTTTATTATGATTACTGTTAATACTAGGAACAATAACAACAACAACAACAATAATAATAATAGTTATTATTATTAATAACAATAAATTAAATAATTTTATTATTATAACCACCTTTAATAAAATATTGAAATTGAAAATGTCATCATATCAAAATTACTAGTTAGAATTAGTAGTATTTTTATTTAATTATTCCAATAATAATAATAATAATAATAATAATAATAATAATAATTATTATTATTATAATAATAATAATAATAATAATAATAATAATAATAATAATAATAATAATAATAATAATAATAATAATAATAATAATAATAATAATAATAATAATAATAATAATAATAATAATAATAATAATAATAATAATAATAATAATAATAATAATAATAATAATAATAATGTCAGAGAGTTAGCTAATAATAATAATAATAATTATTATTATTATTATTTGTATTATTATTATATTTAATACTTTTCCATTAAAAATTTTAATTACAATTATAATACATTTAAATGATAATTATAACTAGTATTATTTATTTATCTCTATCATCAACATCATCATCACTCATTGCAATTCCACTCATTGCGTCACTAGTCGTACATAAGTTCATCCAGCTGTACAACTCCTAGTACATAAGTAAGGTAAAGGTGCTATTAAAATGCTTACGTCAAGAGGACGGTCTGCCGAGTCTAGGATGTCCTCCATGATACTCTCAGCATACTCCAGTCTTCCAGCTAGTGAGCTACGCTTCTTCAACCCCGTGAGGTTCACCAGATGGATCTTCAACCAGTTGAGGCCTTTGGGCCCGAGAGGCCGTCCCTCGGCAAACAGCAGCAATCCCCTGGTCACGTCACTACCAAGGTGGTTAAAATAAGGCGGCCGGGGGTAGGTACGCCCTCGGAAGTCCATATTGTGTGGAAACCAAAAGATCTCGTCCCTCATGTGGTTGGCAATGGACAACTTATACAGCGCATCCATTCGGAGGCTGTGCATCTCTGCCACCTTCTTCTTGGCTTTGACTCCCTCCCGTTTCATGTAGGCCTTCTCGGCCTGAGTATAAGACGGGTCGTGAGGGTTGAAGCGAGGAACCTCGGGTGCTTCGGAGAGAGGTGGAGGGATGCAGAGCTTGTCATTGCCTTTGTCATTGAAGATTGAGATGATGATGTCCAACAGGGGCTTGTTGATCTTCCAGGGACAGTTGCCCACCTGATTGAGGGAGTCCAGCACGGCATGAAGATCCTCATCTCGGCTCTTCTCCAGGAGAAGTTGGTGTTGGATGGCTCCATCGGTGGAGCGCATCAGCTTGGTTGGCATCAACAAGTAAGCGCCGCTCTTTGGGGACGTCCAGGGAACAGAAGGACACAGCATGGGCATGACGTAAGAGTCGAATGTGAGTTTGGTTTCCATCGCAACCCTCTGGATTTGTGTCACAATAGGATGTTGTTTGATGAAGCCAATCTGATGTGGATGCCAAAGAGGAGAACAAATGAAAATCAAGACTTTCCTTAAAGGCATGTCACAAAAAGGACGTTTAACATGGACAATTAAATCCTTAAATGCCGTGACAGGTCTACATTAATAAACATCTCTCATCGCTAGCTCCCAGCAGGCCTGTAACCCACCTCAAATAAACCAGAGATGATTTATGAGTGCTACTGGTAAAATGTTTATGGTGCACAACAGACGTAACTGTCTTTGAGAGCCGGATAAACAACTTCTAATCAAAGAGAAAGAGAAAGCACATGTACCCACACAAATGCCTACAAAATAGTCCCAGAAACACAATGGGTGTGAGTGCTGAATCATGAAAATTAATATATCATTTTACTATAAGGTTCAGTTGACATGATCTGTTTGTATGTTCTGGTATAAACAAGCAGGGATGGGTATTGATGAAGATTTCACAATTTGATTCTGAATTTGATTCTGATTCATTTGGGTAATTACAGTGATTCAGTATTCAGGGCTGTGTTTCAGACTGATTTGAAGCGGTAACACGTCTTTTTGAAGAATTCATTAAAGGAATTAATTCATTAAAAGAGTTAAGGCCCGTTCACACCAAGAACGATAACTATAAAGATAACTATAAAGATAACGATATTAGCGTCCACACCATCGAACGATATCGTCTGTTTGTTCTAAGCGCACACGCGTCTGCCGCTTTAAATTCTGAAGCTCGTTACAGCAGGATGGATTCTGATTGGCTGTCAATGTTTTATCGTTCATCAGCTGGAGAAAAATCGTTTTGAAAGTGATTCCAACTATATCGTTTCTCTTTGTCTTTATCGTTATAGTTGTGTTGAGGACTCTGCTATTCTTTAATATTGAGAACGATTTTTAGAACTATATCTTTATCGTTACCTTTATAGTTATCGTCCTTGGTGTGAATGGGCCTTTAGTCATGAATCAGACTACAGTGTTCCTGCTGTATCTTGTGGATTCACTAAAAAAATTATAGAAAATAAATAGAGTTATTTGCTCGTAAATCGAACGACACTGGTCGTGCTGTATGTTTTTCATTCACTAAAAAGAATCAAATCACAAGAGTCATTTGTTTCATGAATCAGACTAAACTACACTAAATTCACTAAAAAGATCCAGCTCACAAGACAGAAAACTGGAACATTTCACTAGTCTAAACCTCAAGAAGAAAAGATGGAGATCATCTTGCTACAAGGCGGCATTTTAAATGTCTCGAAAAGGAATGTGAATCCACTCAACAGCATCCATGCCACATGAATAATCCACAGACACGCTAAACTGAGAGCTCTTCCCTGCTGCATGGGCCATCTGCAAGCTCAGCGGAGGAACGGGAGTTAAGCTTTGGGTCTTTGAAGTTCATGGAGCATGCCAAGAGGCAGGGCAGCAGCGTCTGGAATGAGATTTCGAGGACAAAAAGGAAATTCTCACAATCTTTTTGGGCTCTTCCTCCCTCTTTTTGCAATCCCTCGGCGGTTAATCAAACGGGCAATTAAGAGGACAGTAAAAAAGAGATTAGTTTCGCCACAATCCGTCTTCCTCCGCTGGCCTGCGATCACTCGCACAGGAAAAAATTATTCCATAATTCATGAAAACATGCATGTCCGTGAGAGGATTTAGATGGGGAACGGATGGTTTATGACACAAATTTGAATGGACAGTCATTTGACTGTCTAGCCATGAACAGCCTTCAATATGGAAGCAAAAACACTTCAGGGATGTGCAGTATTTTAACTAGTACGACTTCGAGTCCAGCTGGTCTCTTACCTTATGATTGCTGCGGAACGTGTACATGTGGTAAAGGATGGGGATGAGCTTCTTATCTTGAGCAGGATTGAGGATGTTGCTCCAAATTTTGAGCTCATGAACCATCAGGTCAACCAGTAAGCTGCCCAGCTGCACCATCAGAACCATCGGCCAAGGGGTGTCGTCACTTAAAAGAGAGGGACCGCTGTACCTCTCCATCTCAAGACTCGCCCAATAGTCCCGCAGCAGCATGCCATTGGTCTATGATGAAACAGGAGGTGATAAAATGTAAAAGCCAATTTAGATATTTGATTCGAGAGCAAACTGAAGGTGTCAGATCTGGTCAACCAAAGCTTGTACACCTCAGTGTCGTTCGCCAGGAGCTCAGCATACGAGTTGTAGATACTCCCAAGCTTCTCAATCATCTGACTGTGGCTCTTCTGCCGGATGGAGTACAAATTGTAGACTCGGTTTCCCATCTCCTCCGCCATGATAAGCAAAGATTCACCACTGGGTGACTGCTTGTCTAAACTCTACAAAAAATGTGGAGAGAAATATCACTTTAACGGTACACCAAGTACGTCTTTTCCTACTCGAAGAGAAACAAAAAAATATCTGAACGTTAAAATTTGACCATATTTTTTTTGGCTCTAGTGGCCAAGAAATTATCATTTTTATCCGCCTCATGGAAATTCGGCGTAAAATTGGTACCTGAAGCATGATGTTCACATAATCCTGATCATCCAGGATACACAGGTATGGGTATATGCAGGTACTCCAGGACTTCTGGCTTTTGCTGGATAATATCCGTTTCTTTTCCTTCAGTGCATGGAGGAGAGCTTTCTCCCAGTGTTTGCGCCGTGTTGCTAGTAATTCTCTCTATAAAAATATAAATGTTTTTTTTTTTTTCAGAATTCAGTATGTGCAACAATATTAATGAACAAATGAAAATTGAAATGTTGGCAATGAAGACAATAAATTTACTTCAGCAAAGAGGTTAAATTTACTTCAGTACAACCAATATCATATGATCAATATCAACATATGTAAACAAACAATTTTACGTTTTTATATATACTTCAAATACATGTTTTTGTAAATAATTTAAAATATAAAACAGGGTATGATTAAACTGCAGGGGGTTCATGAGGTGTTAATGAATTAAATCGTAAAAATGTAAAATGAAAATAATAAATTTTAAAATGAAAACAATAAAAAAACTTATGCTATTATTATTATTATTATTATCTTTTTTTAATATGTTTTATTTGTTTACCTGCATGCCATGTGAGCACTAGGTGATCAAATGAACATGCAAGTGGCTGTTATAATATTGAAATATTAACTTAAAATCTCACAGGGACTTCAAGTAAATATTTTAGGAGTTTAGCGGACAAAAAAGTTTGGGAATCCCTGATATAATACAGTACTTTTCCCCATTACAGTATCATACTGAGAATTTGGGGAGAGGATGTGCTTAATTGACATGAAAATAAAGTGTCTTAATGCTCCTAAAATAGGCTTCATTATCATTTCATTACAGGCTTCAAATTACAAATTATATATGTTTTCCTTTGGATTTTAGGGTGAAATGTGACATTTCTGGACAGTTTTCATGAGATTCACTCAGCTACCATTTGTGGCCTTTACGTTACACCATATTCTCCTCTCAAGCAGCCTGTGGCTTTAAAAAATAAAATCTCATTTAAATGTAGATGTGAATTTTATGCACAACACAAATCGGGTTCGGTGGGCAGTCAGTGCCGCCCGGCCGAAAGTGGGTCATCTCTTTATCAGGATGCTTTTCTGTTTCCCTGCAGACTGGGGGAGCAGGCGGATGACACAGATCAGTTATGCTGACCCTCCGATGGAAAGATGACTCTCTCACAGGGCTGGTGGGGACACATTACAATGCATTTCTATTCCATTAAACCCTAGCGCAAATATTGCGGGACCACGGGGGACCTTTCTCGTGAAGGAACACAGACAGCGGAGCAAATGTCAGTTTAAAAAGCAGCTGGATTGTGGAAATATGACTACTTTCAATGCATGAGCTGGAAACTTTAAAAAATGTCTGCGTTTAGCCAATGGATCATAGCTTAGGTGCAAATCTGGATCCTAAAAAAATACAACATGTTAACTATTGAAAGGAAAATCGTCCACATGTGTGTATGTGATTTTGAAAGGCCTCTTTATGGTAGTTTCCTATGCTTGAGGATTCCCACTGTGCTTGTTTCAGAGAAACCAGTCATAGCAATATTAACTCTGGCCCACAAACAGACATAAATAATTTGGTGTAAGGGAAAGTGGGGTAAGATGTGCCACCGGTTTTTTTTTTACTTACGCTGCCCTCCCCAAGAGTAATGAAGTAAAAACTAATATTCCTTATAAAAAGTTGTGTCCAACTTACCCCACATTAGGAGAGAATTCAATCATTGGGGAATACGAGAAAACAATCTACATTCCATTCGAATTTCCATCCCGTATTTTGCAGCATATTATTACATTTTACATTAAAAAAGTACTTTAACAGTGGGCTTTTTCAACATTTTATAACATTATTTACTGTATCTGTACCATTTCTTAGCACTGGCACATCTTACCCCGAAGCTGACACATTTTTACCCCTAGCTACCATTTTGGGGAAAATGCTTCATTTTATAATCCGTAGCTAATCTTTAGCCAAATTTACATATGTTTTATACAATTGCAATGCACCAACACATTTTTAGGCAAGGCATTGGGAGGCAAGAAATTATTCGCAATGCAACTGTGTGAGGCAACACCGTAGCTAATCTTTAGCCAAATTTACATGTTTTATACAATTGCAATGCACCAACACATTTTTAGACCTGGCTAAATTAGTTTTAGTCTAAAAAACAGCTATATTTTACCGGCTTGTTCTAAATATATAGACATGTGACTAAAATAATGCAGTCTGCTAGATTGCTAGACACAACTTATACACATCTTACCCCACTCTGCCATAAATGCAATAACGGTAACCTCATGATTTTTCAAATGAAATCAGACAGGTTGTGGTTTCGTACCATTTTGGCCATGTTCTCGGTGACAGGCTTTAAGGCCTCCACTGAGTCAATAGTGATGGTAGTGGCTTTCTCCATAGCCAGCTGAAGACTAAACCGGTCCCGCAGTTCTTTCAGGCTGAAGTCCAGTTTAGGATACGTGGCACCTTCCCTCTGAAACACACAAGATGGGAATCAAGTCAGTAAAACCATAAAATAAATGCAAATCAAATGTACTTTGCTACTTAGTTTATTAAAAAGAGAAATGCAACTATCTGAGATTCAAATATGGTTCTATTACCTTTTACTTTATTTTTTTTTATTAGTAACAATTTTAGTAGTATAACCTATGCTGAATTTCTAATGTAGAAGTTTAATTTATTTTTTTAACATTTTTAAATTAATTGTACTAAATTAAGATGTTAAACTGACAGTCCTACTATTAACAGCAACACTGACTGCATAACATTGAGACATTTGCTTTACTATTTTTACATTTATTAGTAAAAACTGTATTAGTGTAATTTAATGCCGACTTTCCAATGCAAAATTTTCACTTTTTAATTTTTAATTAATTGTACTACATTAATGTTTTAAATTGACAGCCTTAGTATTAACATACTAAGTAACTGCATAATATTATAACATCTATTTTGCTGATTTTATTTATTAGTGACAATTATATTATTTTATAATTATCCTTACTTTCAAATGTAAAATTTTAATTACTTTTTTTTAACACTTTTTTAAATTAATTGCAATAAATTAATGTGTTAAACCGGCAATCTTATTATTAACTAACTGCATAGTATTATAACATCCTTGCACAACCAGTGTGTTTTGTGTGTTTGTGTTATGTGTGTACAAAATCATAACAGAGCTCAAGATGATCCGCTAAATAATGAGCGCTGAGAATCATCATCACCAGAGGCTCTAAGTTTAATATTACTGGCTCCTTATATCTGGATATGAAGGCTGAGAGGGTTTAAATCTCATTAGGATAAACATAAAAAACGATCATTCATTTGACTGCCAATTATGGAGACTATTTACTTCAACCTTTCGCAGGATGCACAATTTGTTATGAGGACTGATCGAAAGAAGCCATTGAACTTTATGGCCCAATTAAAGAACCAAAAATCTTTATGTTTAAGTGCACTTATATATTTACAAGAACCAAGCAAACTAGCTAACTAAAATAACCATACGAATGTCAATGTATTTATTCTGTCTTTTAACTTTAAGGTACAGCCAATTAAAATCTAATGAGGTTGAACAGTCCCACTCTCTCAAGTCTGGCAGGCAGCCAAATGTGTGGCTACATAAAATACGAACTGTAAATACGGCATATATTATAGCAACAGCTTGCTAAGTGGTGCAGAGATCGTGGTAATGTGGGCTGTGCGTTGACATGTGCAGTCATTTATTATTCGAGGGGAGGCGTTACCGTCCTGCACAGACATCTGGGAATTATCACCAAACACATCATGGAAGGGCTGGGACAGAACAGGTCAGCCGGAGCTTTAATACTCACAAGGAGAGAGTGACTGCTAAATCTGTCCTCAATAGAGATCACATGGACACCAGCCAAAGCAAGCACAAAGGTTGTGGAGGGATAAATCATGCCCACGGTGATGACTACTACAGCACGGCCAGGCAGAACACAAGATGCAGTGTTGTGTATGGCTCAGCAGAGGCCCTTATTTCCAAGGTCCACAGCCCTGACAGGGAGAAGCACGTGTGGACCTCTGTGTTAGGGATGTGTCGT